TACTAGTATAAAAACTAGAGACTACGATTATTTATGATAATTTTTTTTATCGGAATCTAAACTTTAACTTTTTAAAAGAAGATTATATTTAATATAAAAAGTGCACTTCTTATATATGTTATCGTAAAACTCTTGTTGAGATTATTAAATGTTCATATTTCCGATGCATGTTGCATGTCTCGTGGCGAATAGATATATCGACGTTTTTGTCCTGAATTACACTCGAGCCGAGCAGTCGATTTCGCTTATGACTTTGTTATTCGTTGATTCCATTATTGTAAACTGAAAGTCGATAGTACCAAGTTTCGAGTAATTTTAGCAAGATGTGAAGTATCATTGCTTGCGATTATTCTAAAGTTTTTTTATGAAGCTTAATGTTATATAACAGAAAAAAATAAGATTAATAATATGATCATAAAAGCAAAAATGAATTGCAGTAGAGACGAATTAAATATTAATGAGAGAAATACGTGGAATTGTTTTATTTTTCACTGATATATGTTTTTATTATTATTTTAAAGAATACAGGAGTCCAGTCGTTTAAACTTAAAACATTATTATATTTTATAAAATATATTATTTTATTATTGACAAAGTTAAACGTTTTTCTCGAGGAATATCAACATTATTTTAAACATCTTATTGAGAGAATATTAATATAAAATATTTAATTGAATTTGTAAACATTCACTGCGTATCTTCGAAAGTGACTTGCATATTTTTTCAAGCGCCATCGTTTAAAGATCGTTTGATGAAAAGTGCAAATATTGCATAAGAAGTGAGGAATTGCAAGATGTTTTTATCCATTTAACAATGTTACAACAAAAGTTAGAAATCGCTGTCATTATATTATGCAACAGATCGTAGGAATCGTGAAGGCGTAACTGCATTTATTTTTTACATTTCTAACACAAGCAAATTTCATGATAAAGCACAAGCACACATAGATATGCAAGATAAAAACAGTCGCAGAGCAATTGAACGTTACGAGGCAGTTTATATGTCACTGTTGATTACGAACTTTATTTTGCAAATGGAAGTTCATCTGTTTTTGCATCTCATTACATAAGCAATTCTTGCAAAGAAATATAATAGAAAAGAAGAAATAAGAATGAACAAAGAAAGAATATTTTTAATAACACATTAAAATTTCACAATATAAGACCGTTGTCACAATGAGGCTCAAGTACAAACTGTTTTAAAACCGGTTGCTGCAGCAAAGTAGATTGCTTGCAAATTCTTTCCAAATCATCGTATCTTATCAAAGCCATAGTCCCATTTATGCTAACAATACTTGTGAACATCATTTAGCATTTTATTAATGCAAGGATAAAATAAATGTTGCGAGCGTAGATCGGATTACGATTTAAATCTACAAAAAGTGATGTTTTAAATAAACTTGTAATCGCAATCTTGCATTAAAATTGTAAAATCAACGTCGAAATGCGCAATTTATAATTTGTCATTCACTATTTGTATAAGATTCACGGAGATTCGTCATTCATGTAGTGTAGATCTTTCATATGATTTCGAATTTACGATTAATTCATAATTTGTTATTTAATGTAATAATTTATTATAATAATACGAAAAATATAATGTCAATGATAGCTGAAAAAATTAAAAAGTTAAACGCATATAAATATTATGCAATAATATTTATCGACTCTACGAGTTTTAATGTATAATGGAACATTAAGTATAGGTACATGTAAATTGACTGATTGCACATATTCACTCACCCTGATCGATACCTGAAAATTTTTTAATGTACCATCAATCTTTTAATTGATTAATTAGTAATGTGGTAATCGAGATCTTAATTGATCGACCATTAGTCGTAGTAATTTACATATTTTGTTCAATTTTATCAAAAACTTGAAGTTATTAATTTGACACATATATTTATACATTTATTCGCAAATCTCATATGAATAGCAAATCTCGAATTATAAATCTCGCATAGTCCGACATTATTATAGCTTTGTAACATTGTTAAGTTCTTATAAATATAAATCATGATTTTTTTGTAAAGTTGACGAAATTATTACCGATCATAAAAGTAGGTTTATGGTATCTTATTGAATCTATTTATTTTACAAAAAAGATAGTGGACAAAAAATTCATCGTTGTGATATATATGCACATAAATTAATATAATTGTACACAGAGAAAAACATTTTTTAAGATTTAATTTATTTCATAAATTTTATTGTGTATATTCAAATATTATTTTTAGAATAGTCCAAACAACCTAATGTTTGAATCTTAATAAGTATATACGATTGTTTGATTTTGAAACAATGTATGTATTTGCTTGAATACATTTGATACACACAACACTACTCGTTTAATTTTGTTGTTATAAGTGTATAAGCTGTAATTTCGGTCATAAAATGGTTGTCCTAAGAAAACAATTATTTGCATGGAGCAACCTCTGTATTTTGCCATTTTTTAATAAATAATGTGTTTCATTGTTCGTACTCATTATAACTAAATAATACATATTTGATTAAAAGATATACTTCAAATAATAACATTACTTTTGTCAAACAATAAAGGTTTTTCGAATGAAACAACAAAATTTTTATTTAAATAAATAATGTTTTGTATACCCATATGTGGTTCTAAAAAAATTTTAGTCAAACAAATATGAATATTAAATCCAAGAAAATTTTTTTCTTAGTGTAATTTCATTAAATAAATTTTCTTCAAAATTAATTCAACATAAAAAATTTTATTTTATATACATAAACACTTTCATATAGATTTAATACGTATTATCCACGTAGAATTAATGATGTTTAACGAGAAGATGAAATATAAAATATAGAAGATAGTAATATCAAATTCATATGAATAAATTCACATCAATTTTTATTCTATGAAATCCACGTTAAAATTTAAATATGATGATTTGTCATTTATTACATTTGCATAGATAGATGTCAATAAATTTTTATCCACTTAATTCATGTAAAATATTTAAAGATACTAGAGGATTTACGGGTTATCGCCGAGTCTTTAACTATTTCTAATGTTTCATGAACCTTGTAGTTCACTTCGTCAGGGCGAGGAGCGCACACGTATCAGTGCGCGAAACATTGACATTAGCGATGAATAAAAACACAGCGATAACCCGAAAACCTTCTAATATTTTTAAAGTTAATTATCTATTAAAGTCTTAGAGAAGCATTATTACATAAAATACATTGATTCAATGTAGACACCAGTTCTTATCAAGATAGCGATCTCTATTCCCAGTCATGACGTTATAACGATCTGAACAAGGCAATCGAGCGTAATAAAGTTGTATAATAGGGAAAGCGTTGAAATAATTTTTACTTATCACTCTTGTTAACCTACCCCAAATTACTGACAGTAGCACCCATAATCGAGTCGCGAGCTGGTACCGATAACCGAGATGCAATGAAGTCACGTCTCCGACTTTCCGTAGAGATGAGCCTAGGCCAACTTGGTTAACAAGGACTGTACGTATAGTTCTACCGTAACCGAGCGAATGTTAAGTCGACGGGACTTATTTGTCAATTCTACCGCGGTCGTATTTATAACCGTGCTGCATATAATATCGTCACCATGCTCCCCTTCCATATTGCTTAGAAATAGTAGGAGAGTAATGGTTAACTTGTCATACTTCAATCATACCGGATATCCATGCCTTATTATCGTCGCGTTTCGAAACCTTATCGCATCTATCATGTACCAAAAGGGTCGGAAGCCCAAAGAGTCGCATCTCCGCAAGGGAAGAACGCGTCAACGGTTTTATCTCTGCAATTGCATCTCGCGTGCATATTATAGATGCGTTTGATGATACTGTAACTGTGAACATCCAATCGAAGATGAGTCACAAAGTGTTAATTCACAGATGTTGCAATCAATTGACCTCTTCTTCTGTTATATACCGTTGAATATATCATCTACACTTAAGTAATTCAATCGTTAAGTAATATAGAAAAGTATTATCTTGTAACGTAACTACACGTAATATCAAAGCCTATCTTAGATAATCTTTGATATCATTATCTATTCACATAAATATATCCGTAAAATATAAACTAACAATTATCATTATTCTCAGTAGCGTTATCAATAATGTTGTAGTTTCTTACGTTATATAATTAGCATTAATGATATATTTTCTCATTCAATAATGTAAAACTGTTACGTACAACATGTGTTATGTTATATATTATTGAGTAGGAAATTATAACACTGATAATTATTTGTTTTGCGAATATATGTCGCGTACTAATTTAATAAATTCGGGAAAAAATTTATTTAACAATATTTAATGTATATTTTAGTTCAGTAAATTTTTATTCTTCTTTATTTTTATTTTAGAGCAAAGTTTAACTTGTTTAACATTGTTAATTTTAAAAATGAAAATATATATAGGGAAAAATAGGGTGACGATCATTCAAGAAAATTTATTAATATATTTTATGTACTTGTTATATGGTGATTGAATAACCAGCGAGCGCACCATAAGCATATGAGATGTAACACTGCAGGTGTAACTAGAGACCTAACGTAAGAAGAAGAATATTTTATGTGATCGGTCCGACTAAGTGCCATAATTCCATTCTCCTTTCATTTATTCAACGCAGTTATAATGAATATTTATTTAAAAAATTTAAATTTTCTATTATTAACTAAGTGAAAGGACGTTATATATAAATAGCATATACGTTATTAGAATAAGGATATCGATAACGATAACTAATCGTTTTAAAAAAGAAGCTTATATGTCATTTTTTAATTCTTATATATATTTTTATGCTCTTATTGCATATTCTCTTAAAAGTACAATTTTTAAAATTATGTTACGATTATACATGATTCTGTATTATTTTGCACGACCATACATATATTTAAATGTAAATCCGATGATTCTTAGCATTATTATAATTTCCGAATTTAACAAGCAATAATTATACACACTGATTAATCTCATTTAAACTGTTTTATTTTTGGCACGTGTTACAAGATAAATACGCTCGCGAGAAGGTTCGAAGGAAGAAAACTCGTTACACGTCAAACTTGTTTAATTAACGTTCTCGTGACGATTAGCGACGCTCCTACGTGCGTTTCTTCGAGGTACGTGCGTGTATCGTGAAGATGGTTCCCTCTCAGTTACCTCCTGCCATTTTAAGGGATAGGCTAATCGGTTGCCTTTGTTCCACGTGTACAGTTCCTAAAACAAAACGAATTACATGATCGCGAAACGATAAAATAGTAAAATACTTTATTTCGATTAAACACGTACCTTAGTCTTATGATTATAACTAACTGCCGTGGTCTTGTGATACGGATTCGTAAACGATAAGTTTACATCCAACGTCGTATTTTTGTAGAGATCGAAGGCAAATCTAAGGTCAAATCAATCAAATTACAAATAATGATAATTTTTAGATCGCAAAAGAAGCAAGTACAAATATTTTATGAAATTACTCGTGGATATATCACTCTCTTATTTTAAAAGTAATCGAATTTAAAAAAAATAAAATTTTTCCAAAAAAAGAAAAAATATTTTTTAACTTGACAGAAAATTATTGACTAATCAAATAATAAAAAAGGTAAAAAAGAATAGAGGATTCTTAACATAATCGAAATTTTTATCATTTTCATTTCATAATCCTTTTTGATGGTGTTTTAAGAGTTTAAAATATTTTTAAACTATTCTTCTTAAGTTTTGATATTCTGACAATTTTTTATAAAATTAAGTTATTAAGTTAATTTGTTTTTAATGATTAATAGAATAATATTGTATTTAATTGGCTGTTTCATATTACAGTTTGATTTATTCATATCTTGCAAACGGTCTTGTTTCTAAAGTCTTAAGATAACATTTATCTAACTCGAAAATCACGTTATAATTATGTAATTGTTGAAATAAAGGAATGATATTTTGAATGTAATAAAGATAAGATACAATCTCACATTCTAAATTATTATAGTTACCTACATTTACTGAGGATAAAGACTAAAAGTGATATTAAAGATAATAGAAAATATTGAAAACCCAAGTATCCAAAAGTTTTTTGAGATATTTGTACTTTATATTGTAGCTTTAAGAGCAATTCGTCACTCGCGTTACCGTATCTCCATAGTATCATCGGTGACACTGCGTATAGCGTAAAGTACACCTCCTGCGATAAACATCTCTCCGAAGCGACGGTGATCGATACTGATATTCCACGCGTATTGAATGATCATTTTAGTGGGATCCATTTTCACTACCACTGTATTTTTACCACTACAATTAGGGGATAATGGGTAAATGACCCACAAACCTGCAGAAACGCCGCATATTACACATTGTATTTTCGTACCACAATGTGGTTCCATTAATATTACTCGTATTTATAATATTCCATTTTACGTGGAAATAAATATTTTCAATCATTCAATTATATCCACTTTATATGTAGAGCTCGAATATTTGTATGTACTGCTCGTTTTACCGTTTTCGTCTACGTTGAAATCCGTGTAGGTAAAATTGCGCGTGTAAAGGTAGTTCTGGCCGTTGACCTCTAAGCACGGAAGATGCATCTCGCATTCGGGAGAAAGCTGCTTGCACCGCTGATGATCCGAGGACGCATAGAGATCGTATCGGAGGACTGACGGTCGATTAATGGGATTGTAGAAAAACGATTTGTCGTAAACTACATGTCCGTTACCCTAGAAGAAAATGTCGACCGCAAACTCAATTTTTGCTTCAAGCATTTTCCTTGTTAAACGTTAAATTTTCTAAAGAAAATATGTACATGTCCTTATTATATCGTAATATTATAGTTACTTTTAAAATTCTAGGAATGTGTAACAACACGATTTTGCTGAAGTATTTAAAATTGTATTTAGTTAGACACAATTTAAAAATAATTTGTTACGTCATCAAAATAATTATGTAGAACTCTGAAGCATGATAAGTAATGTTGTAGAAAGTTTCTACATTTTAGCAATCAACTTGAGTATACTATCTAATTATTTTAATGGTCGAACAAAATTATTTTTACATCAGTACCTAGCTAATTTTTTAGATTCTTCAGCAAAATTATTCTTTCCGCACAACATAACGATTTACTTAAGTATCTAAAAAAATTCTGCAATGATTATATAGGAAATTAGGTTTCCGTGGAATAACTTTGTTTCCACGTACACAAAAAAAGATGCAAAGTCTAGAAAAGCTGTAGGCTTTTCTCGGCACTTTTGAAAAACGTTCCAATTTGTATAAAAAGTCTGAGAAATTTTTAAAAAGAGTCTGAAATTTTTACATAAAAGTTTATAAATACTGAAAAATTATATGAATAATTTTGAGAAAAATTTTTATCAGAGAAAGGTCTTTTATATACAAATAAAAATCTGAACATAATTTTGGATCGTCAGAAATAATGTAGGACTCTTAAGCACGATGAGCTGCAAAAAATTTCAATATTCTATAATAGTAATCAGCTCGAGTGGCCTACTTAAATATTTTGATAATTTAAAAATTATTTCCAAATCGACATCTAGTTAAATTTTTTAATTCTGCAGCAAAACCGTCCTTTCCATATATAATTAAAGGTATCTCACTGTCTGTTATTCTAAAGTTGCCGACCTGAAAAGGATGGGGTAATTTTATCTCGTTTAGCGCTGTATTGTTCTTAAAGTCCTCCTTCGATTTGTATTCATAGATGTAGGACGTCTCGTTGTGGCGAGTAACCCAAAGTCTGTCGGGCATGATATCGTTGGACGCGTCGTGCATCCAACTTCCGTAGTGGTCGTCCATGTTTCCTTTCAGTACAGGTTTTCCTATAGCCTCTATAAAACCCTCTGCGAATTTACCAACGTCGTTTATTAACTTTCATGTCCTCAAGTCGGAAGAGTTCACGTGGAAAGAGATCGTTTTTTAGTTCGCGATATTACGGACACTCGTGTTTGACGAGAGTGCCGTCAGTTCGTTAATTACGTAAACTTTCGCGATATTGCGACCCTTTAGTCATTAATTCACGGGAGAAGAAGGAGTTCTCCGCTGTGTACTGCCACATGTACGCGCTCATACGAAGGTAGATAAATTAAAAGTTAAATCGAAAATCGATTTCGATCAGTCAGGTAAAATTGATTAAAACAAATATCTTAAATATGACTTTTTTTCCAGCGCGGCTATCCAGTCATCGGATAAAAGAAATGAAATTGTGACTACTCTTTATGCATAGAAAGAACAGTGCTAAAGTATTTTAAAAATCTAAATATAGATTTGAAAAGTTTTATTAAACGCCAAACACGTTTATGTGAGAAACTTAAGCTGGTTGCTAAAATGTCAAAATTGCAGATTTGTAGCATTGATCACCATGCTTGAATTTTTTACACGATTATTTTGATAATTCTTTAAATTTATTTTTAGATGTGTGTATCAAGCTAAATTTTTTAATACTTCAGCAAAATTCTACGTGGAAAAGAGACTTTTCAGGCTAATACAATAACTAAAAATGACACTTTATTAAAGTTTCAGACTAATTAAGAACATTTAAATAAAATAAAAATAGTACATATTCTTATTTTCACTAGTTTATCTTTGGTCTGTCTAGATCAAACGAATAATTACATTCACTTTGATGCTCAACGCTTTATAAGCTTCATTTCATCCTTGTTTATCAATTATTAAACAAAGACAAATACAAATGCTGTAAACGCCAATGCAGTTATATAGCAACATATTTATTATTTAAAAATCTAAACAAAGCAAAGAGATAAACATATTCATTAGATAATAAAAAAATAGATAAAGTTTTTTAAACTGCAACAGAAAACAAAAACGTGTTCTTTAAATGTTTAAAAAATATTTGTAGTCTACGAAAGTTATATTTGCTTTTTAGTTCAAGCTATTTAAAATTTAAAGAAAACAAACTTAACATTGGATTAGTACTCAGTTAGCAACAATGATTGAATAGCAATTGTTTTCAGATGAAGCAGCAAAAATATAATAACATAAATAAAACATTTACATTTTACACAAATTTCATGTCAACTCAGGAAAAAAGATGATAAAGAATGATTTAAGTGATTAGATGGCAGCTGCATTCCGAGTTTGCTAGTTCCTGATCTCTATTTATTTTATTAAAATGTATGTGACTAATAAATTTGTAGAAAATCATTGAAGAGATATACCCTCTGTTTGTTTTACATTATTATTTTCTTATTTTATTTTCTTTATCGCATCGATCAACAAGAATTCTTGATAAATATCATCCGTTTTGTAAAATATGTACACATAATGCATATATATACTGAAACTATGTTACGTCGGGAAATGTATATTACGTTACATATGCGTTTACACCGAAGCTTTGCACCTCTAGAATTAATTGATCTACCTTGCGCAAGAACGCCGTTGGAATACATTAGTTAGAATTGATTAAACGTACCGGTTGACCGCGGTGGCGGCCGCGTAATATTAATATCGCTCAACGGTTGAACATGCAGATGGTCTATTATATCTGTGTACGTGCACTTTGGGCACGTCGTACAGGTTTCTTGTGTAGGGATGCACAATTCTTGCTCCTGATCGACGCTCATGGGCATAGGATGACCGTATGTTACGTGCTCCTCCTTTCTTGACTTGTATTTCTCGACGTCTTTTATATCATCTAGCGTTATTTATTACCGTCAATTAAAAAATTCAATTAGCAGAATTATTTCCTAGGAATAAGCATTGGAATCAATCTTAAAAGAATTATGCTGGAAAAAATCAAATTTCCAATCGCAAGAAAATCTGTGAAATTATACGACGAATATAGAACGTGCTTTTCACATTTGTTTTCAGAATTTGTAATATTCTGTTAACATTTTTATTTATAATTATTTATTAATAGTTTGTATTTATTTTCTTGTTTCTCATTTAAAGATTGAATCGAAAATCGAAGTAGTAGTATTATATTTTTGCCTGGAAACACATTACGCTGAGAGATATAATACAAAATAATAGCGCACACATCCTCACAAACTCAGAGAGGCTTCCTTCTATATCCTTCATGTTGTAATTAATTAGTAATTCCGTAATGGCTCTTTAGAATTCTATTATTAATGCAAGGAGAAATACGAGGTAATATAAGGTAAAACGAACCGTCTACTATAAAGGATCCCTTGACAGTGTCAAAATCGTTTTTTGCCACGCAGTGGTAAGTCCCATGATCCGACGTGGTCACCCTCGCGATTCTCAGCTTCATCTTCAGCTTTTCAGAATAGTTTCACGTATTGTAAGACACCTCATTTGTTGCTAACGTGTAGCAGAAACGATTTATTATCGAGATTTATACGATAAAATGTGCAAGTTATTTATTAAAATGAAAAAGAAGTCTCTAAGAAAATTGCGTAGAAAGCGATTTGGCGAAAGTCCGCGGATACGAGTTCGACGGGTTACCTTGTAATTATCACGCCTGTCGTAAACCTCCGTTCTGTACTTATCCGACATTTTCAGACGGCGACCGTCACTGCGTTCCCAGTATACCACCGGCTCGGGAAAGCCTTCCACCTCGCATTCCAATGTCGCAGGATTTTGGTTTCGCACAAGTACCACTTGGTTGCGTATACGAATGAACGGCGCAACTGGAACGCGATCGATTATCAATTTTACCCACATCTGTGCCTATTGATTCGAGCAAAACATGGTTTTCTTTCCAAGTTACCCTAATATAATGCCAAAACCCAGGAAATATTTATGCGTATTATCCCGCGGACACGTGCGAAATTTTTCAGAATTTTTAAAGGCATTTCTATCGCGCATTTTTCGCATTTACAATAGAAAATATATACATATATTAAATAAAAAATAAAAGTTTTAAAATATGAAATTACAGAATCAGAATGAAGTCCTAATTAATGAAGATCTAAAGTTTTACATAAACAATTTTTTTTAATGTATAAAATATACATTTATATTTATTTCATGTGATATTATAATATATAATTATATCATTATTTATAGTATATTTATATATATTATTCCTTTTAAATTGTTATAATAAAGAAACTTTATTGTCAATATATATATTGTCATAAATACTTTATTTTACAATTTCATATTTCAAAACAATATTATCGAATATAAAAAAAAATGTATGTTCCTTTTAATTGAGATTGAAATATACTTACATTTGACTTGAAGCTTGAACCTCTTAGATCGTGCTGGAGGTATTCCGTTATCAGCATTGCACATATAGTCACCCATGTGTTCCCGATTCACCACGCTGATGTTAAACGTATGGCCCGTAACTGAGCTCACTAGAGTCGCAAGATTTATAGGAAGGTTTGTTAGTTCCGCTCTATCTGCTCGTTACGTATGATTGAATTAAAGAGTCCGTTTATACCATGCCAAGGGCCCATGGGTATCATGGAACCGTCTATTTTCGTCCATTGTATAACAGGCTGCGGTTTCCCACTCGCGGCACATCTCAGACGTATTTTGTTGCCTTCTTGCACGGAAATCACGCTACTTGAGTTTAACAATGGTGTAATCTCTGTAAAACATCACAATTTTCGAAGATTGTAAAATCTTCTGTAAGAAATGCAGATCGGAGATACGCACGATCGGAGATGGTCAATGTGATGGAGAATTATTTAATCTGCCTTACGATAATATAAAATATATAATAAACAGTATAAAATATAATAATGTAATAAATGTAATAAAGAATATGTAAAAATATAAGTTAATATGTAAAAAAATTGTTTTGTGTTTTTCATTCAATACCTTATAAAAAAGGCAAAAGCAACGATTTTGCTAAAATAGTAAAGACAGCAGTCCTTACCCACGATGGATGGCGGTATTAATATGTCATTCTCGTTATAATCGTTCATGTTCACTTTGTATGCCTGTATGCCTGATTTGCCATCCTTTCCGGATGCTCCTGGATGACCAGGTGGGCCTATATCTCCTAAAAAATAAACGAGCTGTTTAGTGAAATATTTGTAAAATAAAGAAACGGTGATAGTGGTCTAGTGACGTTACTTACCGCGAGGTCCTGGTGGTCCTTGAAGTCCCATTTGCCCTGATCTTCCTAAATAAATACGAATTGTCTAATCAATCTTTCATTTGTGAGGTATTACAAAAAATATTTGTATTCTGCTATATTAATAATATTACATAATTTACTATTATTAATATTACATAATTACTTAATTGAAGAGTATAAATTTTAACATAACGTTTCTTATAAATTTAAGTTAGAAAATTAAATCTTCTATTTAAAGGATCATAGAAACAATTTAATTCAACAAATTAAATTAAATTAAATATTTCTCACGCGCAATAATTAACATACATTTTTTTAATTAAAAACTGTATTATATTAAAAAGTAACAAAATATTTGGTTTATAATTGTTAAATATTGATACGCATTGTAGAAAAAATTTTTTTAATGTTGAATTTTTATTTTGGTATTCGTACACGGAAAAAATTACTTTGCTAAAATATTAAAAAATTTAATTAAATACAGATCTGAAAATAATTTCGTTGAACTATCAAAATAATTATGTAGGACGCTCAAGCTGGTTAAATGTCAATTTTTTGTAAAACAAACATGTTACTTCTTGTAACATATTGCTCATTATACTCGCGAGTTTCCTATATAATTATTTTAATGATCCAATTAAATTATGATCGGATCTGTACACCTAAACTTTGAGGTACTTCAGCAAAGTGCATTTTCTCACATCAACGTTGCGGTTGAAACTTATACATTTTGTCAAGTAATTCTATATTCAAACTTACCGTCTGTTCCGTTTCTTCCAGGCGACCCAGGCAATCCATTTGCACCTGGCTTACCGTTGCTCCCAGGTATACCGTCCAGACCACTTCTACCGGGAATGCCGTCCAAACCAGGCTCACCCGGCACCCCATCTCTCCCGTCAAAGCCCGGCGGACCGATGTCACCCTTAGATCCTCTGGCACCAGGATGACCGGGCTGTCCTGGCGGTCCTTTCAGACCTTCCATTCCCGGGACACCCGGCAGACCCTGTTCGCCAGGAGGACCCGGATTTCCGGGAGCGCCGGGGAGGCCCGGTGGACAATATTTTGCGGACGAACGACAAAAATTCTCGATCGCGTCAAACTGAAATGCAGGTAAACAGGCACGTAGAATGCTCGATTTTATATGATATGCATATGTAAAACGAACAAATAAAATCTTCTTGCGTATTATTTCAAACTGTAGTTATTTCTATTTTTATATATTGAAATATTTTCGTGGCCTGATTCTGCAAGCGTCTTGAAGTTTTCAGAATCTTTTATATAGCTATTTCTTTCTCATATAAATAATACATTTGAAATATTCAAACTAAAAACAAATTATTTCCATATGAATACATTTTTATTTAAACGTTAGTTAAAGTATGATCTTATATGTATTATATTATATACACAAGCGATATTTAGTTTTCTAATCGAAATTCTTATTCTTATATGTATTAAAATCAATATAATATAATGACAAGAGTTCATGTTTGCACGAATATTATTGTTAGTTTAGTAGAGTGTTATTTTAACGGCGTTATTTTAGCATCATTATTTTAATGCGGAAAATAGGTGTAGCGGATACTTAGCCGCTATCTCCAAGTATCTTCTACACACGCAACGTGTTCTATATAGATGACGGAACTCGTCGAGGAACATCGCGACAACTCGGCAAGTTTGAGGAGAGTATTCACAAGGATATGTATCGCGAAACAGGTAACTAGTTCTAACAATCACACAGAACTGACTTGTATTCGTGTGTCGGCGTTCAACCAGACCCAATCCTGACCACCGGCTACCGTTGGCGAGGACGCGGAGCCGGATACCATCGGGGAGGCGGTTACCTTCTTTGTACCTTGTATCTCCTTGTCATCTCGGATCTGTAACCGAGCGACCCGAGCAATCCCGCGATATTAAGGGAAAGATCCGAGATATCTTCGAGAAATTAAATTGGCAAGCCCCGCTGTGTTGAGAGATCTCGGGAAAATTAAACGCTGGGGAATTAAGACACGAAATCTCTCTCTTCCAGCACAATTTTTAGAATAATTTTCTCTTTTCACATATATTTTTCTTTATTTCGTGTAAATAGTGCAACTGCGTAAAGTTTTAATTCAGATACGCTTTCTGTGTTTTTCGTTACCCTTATAAACATTATTTAATACCGGAAAGTAGTTATTAACTGTTTATTTTTAGTAAAAATACCATTATTCAGTACATTTAATATTTAAAATAAGTAATCAATCACTAGTTCTCAGTACTGAATTAGTGGAATTAAATTAGATTTCCACGTAAAGGGTAATAAAAGGAAATTTCAAACCTTACAGTCGTTTCTCTCCCTCTTCATTTAAAGAATTACAATTTTTGCTTCACGCAGGATTGGATTTCCATAAATATTCCTTAGATTTTTGAAAATAAATTCTTCCTATATATTTTACATACCCGACTGGCTATATCCGAAACGGCATTGTCCTCGGAGGTCGGCAACGAGCTGCTGCGTCTTCGCCGTGGAATTGCCACAGCCTCCGGCGGATACAGGCTCTTTACCCGACGAAAATCACTTTCCACGCTCGTGATGTACTTATACAGATAGACGGACGTGAAAAAGTGAATGATAAATTGTAGCAAAACGAGAACGAGCAACACGCGCGGCTGGAGCATCCAGCGTTGGACCAGTAATGCACTCTTGCTGTTCATGCTGACGTAGTTTTAACTCCAGTGAAAAGTGGCGTTTGAAAAAGCCCCCTACATTGCGAAAAATTATCGCTGATGTATTTTTAAAAATTAACGAAAAATAACAAATAAAATCCTCTCATCGAAAAAAAATATTCCGATTAAAGTCAACAGAACTCAACAAAAATAGCATTTTGGTGAAATTATATAAACAGAAAATTTCTGGTTATCATCTGACCAAAAATTTTGTTTGTTCTCATAAAAATTTTATTCTTGTGAAAGAATAAAAGTACCCCTCTGTTAATTTAATCAGAACAATTTTTTTCAGTGCCAGATTTTCTAATTATAAGATGAGATGGCAAAGAACATTTTCTTAAACAATCATTTCGATTAAATATTATTGGATCGCTTCCGCCGAATTGTTATTGTTAATTAATTTAACGTAATCGATGTGTTACACAAACGTGCGAACGATAACACGGCGACGTGTATAGCGCGAAGACGCGACGCGCGGCAGAACGCAACTATTTCAATTGGATATCTCTGGCACGCCGCAGGAAAGAGAGATCGGGGGAGAGAAGCACATAGATCTGTGTCGTCTGATTGGTTACTATCAAGCGGAATTGACTGTGTATTAAATTTCTGCAACATCCGCGCGTTTCACGCTTCCGTCTCCTATACGTCCTCCTCGCCGTTCTCCCGTTCGCCGTAACGTTAATCCTTAACGCTACCTTTTCATTCTACAAACTTTTCCAAACGACGACCATATTTTTATGGCACTCGTCACTGAAAAAAAAAAAAATACTTACTGTTTAGTTTAATATCAATTTTTGATCTCTCACACGCGGTATTTTACTTCGTCGGCGCGCGTGAGGGGAACGCTCGCGCGAGATGCGTTAACGAGAACGCAGTTTACACGGCGGTTTGCGGTGTCCGTCCGTGTGGTCCTAATGTAAACTAATATATAAACTGTGAGCCGGTGCCGTCGTCGGCTCGGTATCCGACGAGACGCATGCGTGAGCATTTCTCTGTGTATTACACCACGGCCAATTGTCATACATTGCACGTGTGAGACGTGCGTTGCGTCGTGGTGTGCGCCGACGAGCCGGGATAACCGCAACGTTCGTGAATGCACGCTCCGTTTTGTTCAACGGCCACAGGCACACCCGAGCGCGTGTCAATGGGATACGTTCCAGTCTTAATTAAAAAAAAAAAAGGGGGGGGAAGAGAGAAAAAAAATCGATTTCACGCTGCAGTCGCTGTAACAGTCTCTTTCGCGTAACTGCTCGTTATAAACCGCCCGGCGGCGAATTACCACTCTCGACGGTAGTTAAATTGGAACTTCACGCCTGGTGGAGATGTATAGATTTCCAATGAATCGTATAATTATTATTCCATATGCATCTATAATTGTAATTCAACGATCAGGACGGAAACGAAAGATAGAAGAGAAACGAGTTAATATCCAGCAAAAAAATTTAATATACAAATATACATGTATATATACATACAATACACACATACACGCTCAAACACACACGCACGCAGTAGAGTGGGGCTTTTTTTTGTCCATTTCTCACGATAATGTTTCTAAGTAGCACATGTCGATTATTTAAAGGTAGTGCTTGTGCTCTCAAGGAGCAATCATGGCTGTATAACCATAAGCACGTCACTGGAAAGAGATATCGTATTACTTTAAAGTTAAAACTGACGGAATAGCCCCGCCCTACCTTATATGTACATATGTATATACATTATATGTAAGGTCTTTTTCTTTTGAAAGAATCGGATAATAATAATAAAGAACATTTTCTTAAAAAAGCAGCAGAATATCACAGTATAGGACCTTCCCGAAATTGAAAAAGGTACGTAACTTCATTTTTCATCAATGTACATTTTTGTACAGATTATTAGAACTAAATAACTTTTGATCGTTAATCGTGAGAATCCGCTTGGCTGTTAGAACCTTGCCCACCTTTTGTATGTAGAGTAATTTCTATATTATGCTCAGGATCCTCATTCTCGTTTATGTCTATATTTTGCTTCGCAGCCTGTTGACAATAAGCTTCGTTAAAAGTGAATGGATTAATTCTGATTTTTTTTTGTCTTTTAATAATCTTTCTCACCAAGTCCAACGATGCTAAAAAGTATCTAGCCACCTCATAAGGGCTTTCCTGTTGAACAACGTCGTTGAAGTTGATTCTTTGTTGGTTATTCGTCTCCAGAATGTTCATAATTCGCGAAGTGTAATCGCGAATACAAAACATCGATCTTTTTTCGGCATCGCATAATTTAGGCTCCATTATCTCGTGCCATTGGTCGACAGTTTCCTAAAATTACAATCCGTTCTGATAATCTACAACCAGTACATTACCGCTCTTATTGACCGTCGGTTAACTTACTGATGAAAAATGCGAACTTGAATGAAACCAATCGTCACAGAAATTTTTGTGTGGTGAATTCGGTGATATGTCCATAGGACTGTGACGTTCTGAAATCTCTGTATCGATCGAAGGTGTTCTGTTACGGTTGTCATTCGTCGTTACATCAGCATTGATATATGTGTCCGATTCAGTATCGGCAAGTAATCGAAATCCTAAAAAATTCGACTCTGCGTTCGTCACTTCTTTGTATCGCAAAGAATAATACTCTCGTATATACTTCTTTATACAAGAAAGCGAGCTTTTATTGAACATACTTGATCTATCTGAAAAACAAGTAATTTAGTACAAATTGATAAAATTATATTAGACGATTTTAATTAACAAAATGTAACAGATTTACCTCTTCGAAATCCTAAAAGATTCGACTCTGCGTTCGTCACTTCTTCGTATCGCAAAGAATAATACTCTCGTATATACTTCTTTATATAAGAAAGCGAGCTTTTATTGAACATACTTGACCTATCTGAAAGACAAGTAATTTAGTATAAATTGATAAAATTATATTGGACGATTTCAATTAACAAAATGTAACAGATTTACCTCTTCGTGAAGAAGGCGAATCTTTCAAAGCATGTAGATCTTTCTTTATTATACTTCGTGGTTTTTTAGACAATATGCGTGGATTTTGTCTCAACTGCAAGTAAACAGGATATCACCAGGATATTATCAGGAAGAAATATCACTAATTATTAATAAAATCGCAACATAACATACCAATTTCGGAGTAGACTTTAAACGTAGCCGCATTTTAATTTGTTTATTTTCTTTCAGAAAAGTATTTTGCACAGAATCGATACATGAATTTGTTTGCGCTAGAGACCCATTTGTATCATTTAACATTGCTAAATCGTCTGTTGACGAAATTCTAAAATACCAGCAATTTCAAAATTTTAACAGATTTATTACACTAACCGTTTCATTACAGTCGTCTGTTGTGAAACATATTATACGATACGGCTATACGAATCGTGCGCGCTCGTTCAAAATGATATTACGCCTAAATCATATTTGACAATGTAATATATTACTTTTATAATTTTAATGATAAGAAAAGAGCATTGGACATGAAGTAAATAAGTCTTAAGCCGCAATGCCGATAAAATGTATGTTGTATTTATATTTATATTATCTCAAAATATAAGCGTCAAGCGACTACCTGTAATAACAAAAGGATTAAGTAGCGCTAAAAATAACAAAAATATACCTTCTCTCTTTCGAATTCACCGATTCAGGTGGGCTATCTAATACACTGCCAACGTCTATACTTTCCCTAATATTATTATTCAAGCATTGATCTTCCAAATCATTGTTCGATGAAATAGTATTATCAATATTAGTTAGTATCGGTGAACTTGTATGGGATCGTGTATTTGAGAATATCTGATTCAGAGTATTCACGAGAGTCACGTCATGGCAATTATCGCTTGAAATATTCGTTGGCGTTTTGACAAGCGTGTTGTCAGTCGCAGTATTTCTAGATAAAGAGAGATTTTGTTGGCTCAAGCCCAAAGACATGGTCAAATCAGAGATCTCTTCTTCTGTCGAATTATTGTCTCTCTCGAACTCGGAGAATGTGTTAACATTTTCATCACCATTATCGTGTATAGAGGAATCCAATGTCGAAGCATCGAACAAAAGTGTGGACGAAGATTTTTCGTTAACAGAAATGTCGCCACAATAAAAATCTGAAACGCAAGTAATTCTAAAAAAATATTTGACTAAATCACAAATTTTTATTTAATATTTATTGATTCATTTTCCATTTATTATTACAAATTTATCTGTACAACCAATCACATACCTTGAGGCGCAAACTCATCAACCAATGTATCATCCAGACTTAAATTTTGATTGCACCTACGAGATATTAGGCATAGTCAACTTATCCAAGTGTAATAAAAAAATTTAAATAAATGTAAAGGGAAAATGGTACTCACCGGAAATCATATTTTTTGCCGATAATCTCCCCATTTACATCATAAATGTCAATAGATACATGTGCGATACTGTTTTCCAATTGAGTAAATCGACGGCTTTTTGATTGGATAGACTCATGTTTAACATGATTCTTCTTAATATCGATATGTTTGTCTACATCTTCCGCAAAGTTGACAGTTTTGAAGTTGTGAAAACATATGTCAGTCTTTCTATCTCTCTTTTTAGTAGAACTTTTTGTCGCCTCTTCTTGCCTAAAAGACAGTTTTATATGGATTATTTCAAACTAGTAATTTTTAATCAATATTAACAAAAAAAATAAAAGATCCTTTCTCTTCCTGTTACAATTTTTTAAATCCTAATTAGTACTTATTTTGAAATTTTCTTAACTGGCATCTTGGCTGGTATTTAGGGATAGATTGCCCTGGCAAAAATTTTTTATATAATTTGTCAGAATTACTGAATAACTTATAACATTTTAAAAAATTATTCGGATTTTTTTTTATAAATTGGAATACTTCTTATAAGCATAAAGAAAACTTCTCTCTCTATATACATATCTTTCTAGATTCTTCATATATGAATTCTAAAATATTCTAAGATTTTTAAGATTTCTCAGACTTTAATTTCTGATGAAATCTTATAAAATCTGAAAACATTAAACGTATTTTAAAATTATTTTCAGAAATCATACAATAAAAAATTTTAGAAATTTTAAAATATTTCAGAATTTACATATATAAAAAATTCTAAAAAAATACATAGATCTTCTGAGTATTTATTATATATAGCATGTTCTGAAAAAATTGTTCATATAAAAATTCTGAGAAAAATTTTTTCACTAGAGAATTATATATATTTTAAATTAATACTTTAAACCTTTGCTTCAAGTTAACATAATTAAACAATGTTTTTTTAATTTAAAGATTAAAATTTAATGAATATTTTGTAATCTAAAAAGTAAAATTATAGAAAACATTTGTTATAAACAACTTTTTAAAACGTAATTTAAAAAAATGTCCATTCTATATCCTGAAATACCAATTGAGAGTAACATTAAAATAAATCACTTACTCATGAGTTGATAATGCATTTCTACAATAATCAACTTCAGTCCAGAGAGAATCAAGTCTATGAACATAGACAGCTGTAGAATTTTGTAGAACAAGTCCAGCATCGCCGAAACTTTTATTACATGCTGTATTGAACAAGGAGCAATACTGTTCCAAAGTCTGCAACGATAAAAAAGATGTTATTTCAACAGAGATCGCATTACTATCACAATGACATAAGATTTTATTGCAGACATACCTGAGCAAAAGGAAAATTCCAATGTGCCAATTCTCTCACTGGCTTCGTAAGTTGCAAACCGATTTCTTGCACTGAAACCATTTTTATCGTTTCATAAACGTCACAGCTATCCACGTAGGAGGATCATAAATCTATCAATCACTGTTCAAAGAATAGTCACTCTCACACCTTGGACAACATTATCAGGCAACTGATAAGACGATCGAAGTCCATTAACAAAAAAAATCCACGAAGACACTATCTGCAAAAAGATTGTTTTTTTTTATCCTTGGAATAAACTACCCTAAAATTTTTTTTGCTTTCACCAGATATCAAACATATATATATATATATATATATATATATTATTTACTTCACTTTAAGTTCAAAAAATGTACACTAATTCATTTAACAAAAAATAGATCTAATACGAGGGTTTCACAGGAAGAAAAGCAGGTAAACTGCAACTAGTGTTTTATCACTTTGGAGATATCAGACACTTTAGTATACAGCGTTTAATCTACTAACCCAGAGAAAAAAAGACAACACAACAATGATTGTTAATACAGTCGATTGAACAAGGGATTTTTTGTTTTATCGCGCGTTGTCTCTTTTCTTTTCGGAATTCATACGCATCCAATTATCTTAAGTCCATGAACTGGAGGGTTTGCCATAACCTCATAATAACAACATTCGGACTGTTTGGAGTCTTTGGACATAGATTGCGAGAGCAGGTAGTCGAACACTCACATTCTCGAACCACCGATCGCTTACTGAACTACAGAAGTGACGTTCACGCATCGCGGACGTCAGTTGCGCGCGAGCCAATCGCATCTCGCAGCCGACGCGTTTCCCCCTTCCACCTCCTACCGTCGAATCGCGCTCGCGTAATGGCGGACCGGCCTATCGCGGCGTTCGGTGGTCGACTTTTGAAATTTGAATTCGTGAGTGCGTACTTTAGTCCAATATTTACCTGTTATCGAAATGCATACGTTCTTCCGACAAGGCGTTCAATTATCGACGTAACGTTTTCTTGGATTTTAAACGCCGCGATAAAAAGCGACGCAGTAAGTAATTATATTAAGTTGTCGTTATGTCACAAGGTCTTTTTTTTCAACTAAACTAAGTACACACATTATGGAACTTACGTATTATGTTACGTATTATGGAAGTTACGTATTATGAAATTATTTGAAATGTGGATTCCGATCGAAATTGTTAATTATTCCCTAGAGTTCTATTATGTTTTCTAGGGAAATGGAATAATTCCAATTGAAATTCTCCATAAGATCTCTTAATATATTCTTTATGAATAAATTCTTTTAAAGTGAAATATGTTTGACGTTTGGTGAAAGAGAGAAGGCAAGTTTTAATACAATTCAGTGCAATAATAAAACAAACCTCAGATCGGTCTCACCAACTCCGATTAACATAATCGGCCGATTAAATTTCAGAAAACATTATTTTCTAACAGCTGTGAAAATGTATGATATTAAAATAATTAAAATATTAAAGTAATTAAATTAATTAATTTTACATATTTTAATATCATAGTGGCATTAATAATAATTATTAAATCGTTTTTGCTTCTTCAAATGTTAAAAAATTATGTTTTCAGTTTTGCAGTTGGCAATACTGAAATTTAATCGACTAATCAAGTTAATCGAAATTGATGAGACTTGCTTTTGTCTTCGGAAAGATTTACAGCACAATGTCCAAGGAACATCCTAAAGATGTTCAAAGGACATCTTTGTATTTTATAATATATCCTCTAAACATTCTACACTATTAAATTCATAATGTCAAATTATACCAATTTAAAATATTTTTAATCATTTCTAGAGTCACGCTGCTACTATTGATAGAGTATGTAATGTTGTTAATCCAAACCAGGTTGTTTTAAAATGTTATTAGATAACATGAAGGTATCATTATTAAATATTTAATCCTTTAAAATATTTATATGCTTTTGCATTCAACTTTGTTAATTTTACATAGCACCTTTCAGTATACACTAATCTAGGGTAATGCAAGTGAGTTCGCTATTAAGTAATTAGTAAAGTGTGCTGTATGGATAAATTAAGAGAAAGAGGAAGAAAAAGAAAAATGGGAGGAGGTTGAAAGATATTTTCAAATTAAAGAATTATATAATTATCGTAAAAGAACTGTGTTATTAACTGATGAAAAATTTCTATTTTAGACGAGTCGCGTGAAAAACAGTACACGTATGCGTGGAAATGAAACTACGTTTTAATAATGGAAGATACGATATTGTACTCTGAACCGCGATCGACGATCTCGAAGTTAGTTCGAAGCTCCACGTCGCTGAATGGAGTCGAAGTATGGTATCGTGACTGAATGAAGTACGGCTATTTCGACGAAGCGCCGGGATTCATTGTTGTCGAGCCGTTAACCGGATTCAGGTGTTGGACGGAGAAACCGCGAAACCGCGTTCTTGAAACTGGTCCCGCAGGGTGGTGGACGCGACGACGGGGGTAGTGGGTCACAAGGTTGAGAGCAGTTGGGGTGGAAGGGAGAAAGAACAAGCGCGCGCAAACCGCGGGGAGGGTGCACCATTTGATTCCCGTGTGTATGTATATGTATGTAGTGCCATATTAAGACATGGGCTGAGCCCAGGGCGACAAAAATGTCTAGGGGTTGCTAGAAAGAACGTTTTTTTAGTCAAACACGCACACACACACACACACACATTGAAAAATATTTTAAAAAATTGAAAACAAAAAAGTTTATACAAAAAAATTTCAATTCAGGGTGCGCTGAAATATGTTCGAAAAAATTAGAAAATATTGAAAAAATATTTACACCCAGAAATCGAACCAAAGGTATGTATTGTGTATTCCATAGGTGACATCACAATGTTTCGTAAAAGGGCGTCCGCAATACTTTTAGCTGGTGGGCGCACGACAGTTTAACGCGGCACTGCGTTCGTGTGTTTGTGTGCGTGTGCGCGCGCTCTCCTCGATTTAGGCACACGATAGTCCAACGGCAACCGCGGTACCGTTGACAGTGCACCAAATTCGCATCCTATCTTGAATAGACCAAGACCCCCCGAACCCTTTCCCGGCTTACACGCGCTTTTCTATCCGCGTTTCCTCTCTTTCTCCTTCCTTTCCTTTTCCCTCTTCTTTTTCCTGTCTCCTACCGTCCCACTCTATCTTCCATTCGTTCCTCGCCGGTCTCTCCCTCTCTTTCCTTCTCCCATACTCGCGCTCCTCGTCGTTCGCCTTTGGACACGCGACGGCGCGCACGAGCGCGCGTGACACACGCGAGACAGTGAAGGAGAGAGAGAGAAATAGACCGAAGACAGACGGACGGACAGCAGAGCCATTGTACACGTACATACGTGTACTGTACGTCGAAGGTGCGCGCGCACAATCGGCGCACAGAGGCAGAGCAGCAGCACAGCAGCAGCAGCAGCAGACAGAGGCCAGCGGTAGCAGCGGGAAGCGAGCTAGAGCCGGAGTATAATCGTTGTCGTCGTCGCGGTGTAGTCGTGTCCCCGACGTTCGTCGTAATCATCGTCGTCGATGCGCGGATGCCGTCGTCGCGGTTCGCCGGTCGCTACCAGCGGTAACGCGCGCTACCACCGACGTGAGCTACCAGGTAGCGGTAATCGGTGCTGCGGCCTTGCCTATATGAAAAGAGGCATCAAGGAGAAAAGGCCGCCCCGCACCGTCGCCGTCGTCGTCGCCGCCGCCGCTGCCGCCGGCGCAGTCGATACCACCAGTAGGGTGGGAGGAAGGTCCGACGAGACCACGAGGAACTGAAGAGCGCCGCGAGCGCGACAGTCCCGCGCTCTCGGTACGACGGCAGTGGCACCCCTCTCTCGGGGGTAAGAACGTGCGTGCGTGCGTCTGTCCGTCCCTGCGGCGCGCGGAATACAAAACGAATCAATCGACCGCATCACCGCGAGTGCATGCGTGCGTGTTTCCTCTCTCTCTCTCTCTCTCTCCTCTCTGTCGGCTGCCTGGATTGTCTTCGCCTCGTGCTCAATCTTCTTCTCTTAATTCTTTCTAATTCTCGCGGATTCGCGCGCGTGCTCCGATTTTCTATCCGTTCGCGCTTTCTCCGCTCCGGAGCGAGAAAGATCTAGCTTGGGGGTCTCCGTGACCTCGACCGTGACAGGTCGACATCTCTCTGTTCCAGCAGAGCTTGTCGCTCCGTTATCATCGAATATCGCCATCGGCGCCGCGCGCCGTTCCTCACCATCGTCGCCATCCAGCGCGGCTACGATCGAGTCTCGAGGAGGTGGCGACGGTGGTGGAGGCGGCGGTGGTGGTAGCAGCGGCGACAAGCGGCGGCGAGTGGCGACACAGTGCCACCTCCTCGATTCTAGGGAATCGAGCGGTGTCGGTCGGTCGCGGTGAGAGCGCGAGAGGTGCGCGAGAATGTCCGAGAGAGCGGCTCGAAAGCTCGCGGTTTAAATGTGTCGGTCGCGTTTACCAGACGTGAGACGCGAACGACAACGAGAGAAAGAGAGCGAGAGTGTGCGTGAGTGAGGGGGAGGGAGGGAGAGGATTCGCGAGCGCGCGCGCGGGGGCAGCCAGAGAGAGGAGCGCACGGTACACAGCGAGCGAGTTTATTTTTAGTGGCAGAAGGTGAAGAAGGCGGGCGAAGAGCACCGCGCGGAGTGGTATTAAGCGGCAGCACAGTGGCCCGATGAAGCGGCGTATGTGACATCGGATTTTCCTCTCTCTTGCCACCGTCGAGGAAGAAGAGACACCTCGCAGACATCTTGCTGCCACCGTCCACGGTGAGTAGTATGTCGCCACACTGCCTCCCCCCCCCCCACCCACTCTCCTCCTCCTCTTCGTCATCAACCCCCTCTCCCTCTTCCGTCTCCACCTCCTCTCTCACCCTCATGCGCCCCTACCCCTCGTCGAGGATTGATTCGCCATTCCGCCCACCAGGACACGAGCCTCCACTATTTCCACCCCTTCTCTCTTCCCATATCCCTCTCCCTTTTTCTCTCGCTCTCCCTTTTGTGTTTTCTTTTCCCCATTTAAATATATATATTTATTTCTCCCTCACAATCTGTCTATTTAGCTATGTTTACTCTTCTCTCTCCTCCTTTTTCTTTGCGCGCTTCTCCCCTCTTTGCTATGTCTCCTCCGTAACATTTATCCACCCATCCATCTACCTATTCCCTATATTCGCGCACATGTACACTCTTCTTGCTCCGTCGCGCTTTTCCCTTTTTCTCTTTTTCATCTTTTCACCCTCTCTCTCTCTCTCTCTCTCTTTTGCTCTTGCATAGGGCACCTCGGGGCAGCAAGCTCCTCGTCGTCGTAGACCATCGTCCACTCCCCACATCCCCACCAGCCTCGCGTCGCCCTCTCCGCTTCGCCGTGGGTTACGAAAATTATGTAACGCGCTCGATCCGGGCGTTTCTTGTTCCGCTCTCCTTTCTCATCTTCCTCCTCTGGATATCACAGTCTGCTCCCCCTCGGCGCCCATCTCTCTCCCCCGCTCTCGCCCGCCACCTCGCTGTTCCTCTCCCCTGCGTTGTACCGTTCTTCCGAACATTATTTCGGGAGTGCCAGCAGACCTGCCAGCGGACCCTGA